CATCATATATATAAAACTCTTATAATATTTATTATGAATAGTTATATATTTTCATATGTATTTAACAAATCTTCAATATGGCATTCATCATTAATATACATTTTTACTATAATATTCATCATGAATATAAATACTATTTATCACTAAAATTCAACATGTAAATTACTGATGTGCAACTTTTGAAAAGCATTTGTAGAAATCTTTAACACTAAAGAAAAGAATAAGAGATTGAAAAGCAATAAATCTCAAACATCCCGTGAATTCTTTCGTTGTTTCTCACCAACATCTACGTCTACATCTATTAATGATACAAATAATCAAAGCTAAATTGATGAAACAAAATTGACTTCAGATTATTTTGTTGCAACGAAAACATTGATTTAAATGATGCATAAGCTTATTATAAATACTTAGAAAGAAATTTATTGACATAGTTTATTTTTATTATTTTACTTCGGATACATCATTCATATAATTATCAATACCATTTTAATGGTTTTCTATAGATTGATAATCATTTAGAACTTCTTTTAGTTTTTATTTTTGTTGGATATTATTAAAACCGTTTGCAGAGGGTAGTCTATGACAACGGTTTCGAAAAATAAACGTCACTATGTTATGCTACAGTGACAATTTTGAATAATAAACGTCAGCATACATATGCTATGGTGATGCTTTTCGATAAATAAACATCATTGTACGCCACGTTACAATAATGGTTTTAAGAAATAGGCGTCACCTTTTGTCATGTTATATTGATGGTTTTTGGAAAATACACGTTACCCTATGTTATGTTCTGGTCATGGATTTGACAAATTAATGTTATCGTATGTCATAATACAATGACGGTATTATAAAATAGACGTTACTATATCATTACTAGAAAATCAGGTATCAACGACGAATATCAGCGAGGGAAAAAATTCCTCCCAGATCAGCGAGGGAATGAGTTTTTGGCCATTCCCTCGTTGATCCCTCGTTCATCAGCGAGGGATCAGCGAGAGAATATGTTTTTGACCATTTTTTTATTTAATAATTACAAATTTAATTACTTATTAATTTTTATTTATTAAATTTCCAATTATTTATTATTTATTAGAATATTATAAAAATTAATTAATAAAACCGAATAAAGCCCATTATGCCCAATAAAACCGAGTAAAGCTCATTAAGGTCCATTAAACCGAATAAAGTCCAGTAAATCTAAATAAAGCTCACTAAGGCACGATAAACTCAATAAAGTCCGGTAAGTGGATTAAAGTCCAATAAAACCGAACAAACCCCAATAAAATGGGTAAAGACCTAAAACCGAATAAAGCCCATTAGGCCCAATAAAACCGAATAAAGTCCAATAAAATGGATTAAGGACCAATAAAACCGAACAAAACCCAATTAAATGGGTTAAAGCCCAATAAAACTGAATAAATTCCCATATAACACACAGACACACACTATCTATATATTCACATATACACATACGTTTAAATATATATATATATATATATATATTATCCGATATATGTATCTTAAACAATATATACATCGATCCAATCGTGGTTAGCAACCAGCACACATCGTGTATACATATGTATCTAACATGCACCGACGAGTATATATACCTATAGCACATACAACATCGTGTAAATATATGTATACAACATGGGCTGACGGGTATATATACTTATAACACATGCACATATATACATACGATACCTACATATAAAAATATGTACATATAACACATAAAAAACAAGAAAATGAGAAAATAGGACAATTCGCTCGCTGATCCCTCGCTGATCCCGGAATCTGTTTTTGGCCATTTTTTATTTAATAACTAGAAATTTAATTACTTATTAATTTTTAATTATTGATCATTAAATTTCCAATTATTTATTATTTATTATAATATTACAAAAATTAATTAATAAAACCGAATAAAGCCCATTAGGCCCAATAAAACCGAATAAAGTCCATTAAGGCCCATTAAACCGAATAAAGTCAAATAAAACTGAATAAAGTTCATTAAGGCCCAATAAACTCAATAAAACCCAGTAAATAGATTAAAGCCCAATTAAATGGGTTAAGGCCAATAAAACCGAATAAATCCTCATATAACACACACATTATTTATACATTCACATATACACATACGTTTAAACATATATACATCGATTCAATCGTGGTTAGCAACCACTACACATCGTGTATACATATGTATATAACATTGACCGACGGGTATATATACATATAACACATACAACATCGTGTAAACATATGTATATAACACGGGCTGACGTGTATATATATACTTATAGCACATGCATATGTATACATACGATACTTACATATAAAAATATATACATATAACACATAAAAAACAAGAAAATAAGACAATTTCCTCGCTGATCCCTCATTGGGCACTTCCCTCGCTGATCTGCGAGGGATCAGTGAGGGATTTTCCTATTTTCTTATTTTTATGTGTTATATGTACACATTTTTATGTGTTGGTGTCGTATGTATACATGTATATGTGTTATTTGTGTGTGTGTGTATATATATATATATATATATATATGTTGTGGTTGCTAACCTCGTTGGTTATGTTTATTGTTTGATAAATTTTACATATTCGTTGGTTATGTTTATTGTTAATTAGTTGGGTTGCAAATTGTTGGACAAACATTAGGCTTGATTATATATATATATATATATATATATATTTGTAGTTGGGTTGCCAATTGTTGGGCAAACATTAGGCTTGATTATATATATTTGTAGTTGGGTTGCCAATTGTTGGGCAAACATTAGACTTGATTATATATATTTGTAGTTGGGTTGACAATTGTTGGGCAAACAATAAGCTTAATTCATTTGGAAATATTCATTTTATAGCCGTTATGTCGGCGAAATGTTTAAAAACATAGGTTTCTCTACTCGTTCAAACCTTTACACTTAGAGTTTTAAAGTCATCCGAAACTTCTCTAAACCTACAGTTTGACTTTCTAGTAGTCAAAACTTTACATGTATGCTTCTCAACTCGTTCAAAGACCACCAATTTCATTCACACCTACAGTTTGACTTTCAAGTAGTTAAACCTTTACACTTATAGTTTTAAGGTCATCCGAAACTCCTCTAAACCTACGGTTTGACTTTATAGTAGTCAAAACTTTACATGTAAGCTTCTCAACTCGTTCAAAGAGCGCCAATTTCATTCACATCTATGGTTGCACTTTTAAGTAGTCAAACCGTTACATTTAGAGTTTTAAAGTCATCCGAAACTCCTCTAAACCTACGGTTTGACTTTCTAGTAGTCAAAACTTTACATGTAGGCTTCTCAACTCGTTCAAAGACCGCCAATTTAATTCACATCTATGGTTTGACTTTCAAGTAGTCAAACCGTTACACTTAGAGTTTTAAAGTCATCCGAAACTCCTATAAACCTCTACGGTTTGACTTTATAGTAGTCAAAACTTTACATGTAGGCTTCTCAACTCGTTCAAAGACCGCCAATTTCATTCACACCTACTGTTTGACTTTCAAGTAGTCAAATTTTCAAGATGAACTGATGTTATCTGATCATTCTTCTGATACGTAGCTTGTCTTTTGTATGCTTATTTCACAATTGTACATATATAATCGCGATTTGTCATTATCTTTTTTCATGATATAATCTAATGTTTGTTTTTTAGGAGATGTCACGCCGAGAGCGCGATAGAGGCCGTCATGGTAGTCATGGCAGCCCCATGTCTTGTAGGGACAACAACTCTGCCCGCACCGATGACATTGTTGAGCTTACGGAGACCGCCTTTCGCGGTTTAGGTGAACAAGAGGTGGCCATGGAGTCCCCAGCTTCGACAGGTTTGGGGTCGGGGAGAGACCCCAACACAGTGATGCCGTCACCGAGTCATCCGAGCCAACAAATACATCTTTCATTGTTAGGCCATGGGTAAGTAGATGTGGAATAAGACTTTGTATTACATAATAATATGATATGAATGTCTTTTGTGTTGTAAATATTTTTTTAATTGTACAGGTTTAAAGATGCCCATGTTATCTGGGAGATGACGACTATATTCAGATCTTCCTTTGCTGGTCTATGACATAGATGGAAGGAAGTACCTCAAGAAGCATGCGATTTGATGTTCCAGCGCTTTAGGGTTGGTGTACCATTTTAATGTAATTATACATATAAGGTTATTGTTTTTACATTTATAAAAATATTGTGTATGTAGGTTAAGTTCCAGTGGGAATAAGAGCTGGATGACATGGTTCATGATTTATGGACTAAAGCAATGCACAAAAGGTACCCGGATTGGATGAACGTTGCACGTGACTGGGTCGTGGCACAAGCCTATCCTGGTGATCAGCAATGGGATGGTGAGGACTTCTCACGGATTAGATTACACCGTTCTATATGGATACCAGATAGGTTTTGGCTTCAGATGATTGACTATGTATGTATCTCTATTGTGAGCTTTTCGAACTACCATGTGTTTTGTACCGCCTTATATATGTTCTATGTTTTTAACAGGTTTGGGATACCGAGGCTTGGAAAAGGAAATCAAGGATCAATAGGGCTAATCGGAACACACAGTTTGAGGGGGTGTCGTCCAGACACACCGGGGGATCGATCAGTACTGCACAACATCGAGACAGGATGGTGATTATATAGGCTTTTTTGAAAATGTAATTCATTCTTTATGTTTAATAACAACTTAACCTAATTGTTTAATGTAGGCAAAAGTAATGGGTCGTGAGCCGACTGCTGCTAAGTTGTTTGAGCGCACTCATTGCACGAACCAGAAGTTCGATCAAGGTTCGTCCGACCCACCTACCGATCCTCCTCAGTTCAGTTACCCCAAAGCTACTAGGTATCATGTAAGTTTTCTAAAATCATTACTTTGGTTAATAGATACGTTTGGTAGGTTTAAGGTAATATATTTTAATATAACATAGTGATGATATTAGTTGGGGCTGCCATTGTTGGGCAGACGTTAGGGAGCTGCCATTGTTGGGCAGACGTTAGGCTAAGCAGATCGGTTGAGAATGTGACTACCATTGGTATTATTAGAATGCTTTAATTGTTAAAACAGACATTGGTCATGTCTGATTTACAACCGTTATGCTGCTGAAATTTTTACATACATAACCTCATTCGTTTTTGTTTTGGTGAACCATAGGAGCGATTTCAATCACTTAGGTGTGAGGCACAATTTAGTACCGACAACCCTCCCCCTGATGAGGCATCTCTTTGGGAGCAAAGTGTCGGAGGACGGAGGAAAGGCCGCATCTTTGTTTTCGGGACCACCCAGGATTCCTCTTATGCTATGACGTGTAGATGTAGCAGTAGCGAGTCATCATACGAGTCAAGAGCGGAGGTATGTTGGTTATATTGTTATAAACATTCTCATTACTCAAATTGCGAACAAATTACTAATTTTCTCGAATACTGAATATTTACAGGTAGCGGAGTTGAGAGAGAAGTTGGCAAGGGTAGAAGAGGAGGCACAGTTGTGGGAGGAACGTTATCTGGCCTAGATGGAGGACGAACGGAAGAAGAGGGCATATTTGGAGGCCGAACAAGATAGACAAGCTGCTGCATTAGCCCAACAGGCCTCCTTATCGGAGCATTTTGTTGTGTTTATGCGGCAGTTAGGATACGTTTTCCCACCTCCCGGTAGTTAGATTGTATGTATTTGAAGATTAAATTGTATGAATTGAATATTTTAAATTGTATGAATTGGATATTTTAAATCGTATGAATTGATTAGTTTTAATTTGTTCATAGTTTTGGTTTGTTATATTATTTCCAGGTTTTGTATAAATAAATACATGAATTATGTAATTTCAAAAAAATTATTTTTTAGATTAATACAAAATAGCGATGGATTTGCGAGGGAAAATCCGTCACTGAAAGTCCTTGAAAATTCCCCCGTCGCTGAAAGATCCCTCGCAGATCTGTCACTAAAAGTTTCCTCGTTGATCGGTCACTGATATATTCCCTCATTCATCTGTTGCTAAAAGTATCCCTCGCAAATCCGTCGCTGATAGCAGTACCTACGAGCATTTGACCGACAGAGTATCAGCGACGGATTTGCGAGGGAATTTTCCCTCGTTGATACTCTGCATTTTTGTAGTGTTATATATCATGCTACGGTGATAGCTTTTTAATAAAAACGTCAATGCATGTCATGCTACAGTAATAGATTTAAATAATAAAGGTCATTGTATGTCATGCAACATTAACAACTTTGACAAATAAACGTCACCATACATCACTTTACGGTGACGGTTTTGACAAATAAACATCACTATATGTTACCTTATAGTAACAACTTTTTTAAAAATAAACGTCACTATAGGTCATCAGTTCGGTGATGGTTTTGAATAAGAAATGTCACTTTACACAACTCTACAGTGACATTTTTAAAAAATAAATGTCACCGTACATCCTACTACAGTAACAATTTTAACAAATAAACGTCACCGTACGCCCTACTATAGTAATGGTTCAAAAAATAAATGTCACCAGATGTCATGCTATTGTGACAGTTTTAAATAATAAACATCATTGTATGTTGTGTTCCGGTGATAATTTTGAGAAATAAACATCACTCTATGTCATGCTACAGTGATGGTGTTTGAATGTAAACGCCAACATAGGTCATGCTATGGTGACGGTTTTAAAAAGTAAACATCAACGTATGTCATGTTATAGTGACAACTTTTGAATAGAAATGTCAACGTACGTCATGTTACAGTGACTATTTCAAGAAATAAATGTCACTGCATGTCATGCTAACGGTGACGATTTTAAATAATGAATGTCACTGTATGTCATGCTTTGGTAACGATTTTTACATATAAATGACATTGTATGTCTTGCTATGGTCACAATTTTTAAGAATAAATCACTACAACAAAAAGGGTTTTATAGGACACTCATTAGTGTCCTAATAAGGTAGTTAATAGGACTTTTAAGTTTATAGGACAAAAAATGTGTGTGTCTCATCTAAAGGTGTTGTATTAGGTTAATAGGATGAATTTARGTGTCCTAAAAAACTCTAGGATTATGATACAAAACACATAGTCCTATAAAATGGTTTAAGTAACACTAGAAAGTGTCCTAATAGACTATAATATAGGACACTTTATGTTGTCACAAAATATGTTTACATTTAGAAACAAATGTGGGCGTCCCAAAAAATGTTTTTATAGGACGAAATTGAATGTCCCAAAAAATGTTTTTATAAAACAAATTTTAGTGTCCTATAAAATGAAATAAGTAATACTAAAAAARTGTCCTAATAGGCTATAATAATTAACACCAAAAGCGTCCTAAATGACTATAATACGAGACGCATCATCCAATTATAAAATCCTTCAGTAATATTACATTTAGAAGCATACATGAACGTTTTACGAATTGATTTGATAAAASAAAATTCGAAGTTGTACAAAKACTTATATGAGTACCAACTACCAAGTTATGTATCCACCACAAAGTTGTATCATGACAAAACTAAGTATTGAACAAGAATTACGCAAATACAAAAAATCTCTTGACAGAAGTCCAAATTTTCCAGCTATAATTTACGAGACTCAAGCTCSATTAAACTAGCATAAAAATGTGATTGAAAGTCACTAACGCTCAAGAATTTTACAAGTATCCCAACAAAATAGTGTAACACTTGTTTTAAAAAGAAAAAAGTGAAGAAAGAAATACCAATGCGACCAATTTTCATGCCAGACCAAGCAAGAGCTCTTAGAGCAGACTGGGCTCCTAGACCAGGAGTCTTGGTCTTGTTACCTCMTGTAGCCCGCAACTTTATGTGAAGAGCATTAATCCCAAGCTCCTGTGCATGCCAATCAAACCAAAAACCTCAAACCAACATAGCAAAGAAACAGGAATCCCTAAATAATAATAGAAATATTTCGAATATATATTATATATGTATGTATGTATATATATATATATATGTGTGTGTGTAAAAATGGGAACAAAACCTTGCATCTCTGAGGAACATCTTGTGCAGCAAGCATAGCTACATAGGGAGAGGATTCATCCCTGTCGGCCTTCACCTTCATCCCCCCTAGTGTAGCAACAGGGCATAGGTAGCAAAAGTAAATAGCACTTAAAGATATTGTCATTACATACAAATGCCAGATTACACACCTGTCAGTAATCTCATGATCATAATGTGCATATGCATATATCAGCTCACACCTCCACATCCTCCCAACTTTATACCATCCTATGAAAGGATAATATTTTATCATTTCAACATTATATGATCTAATATAGGACAGAAACCATGAACATCAGAGGTTTAAGCATATAAAGGTAAATTAAGGAAAAAATTGAATACAGAAAGAGCAGCAGGCCCATACCAGAAAGAGACAGGAACAGAATTATGGTAGCAAAAGAAACCCATAACTATGATGATACCTCAAATACCGATAGGAATCCTGTCATACATGCTTTATTTTGTTATTCATTGGCCTTACTGAGAGACTGCTCTGTCTTTTCAACATATACTAAAAAAAATGGCATACAACCTAAGTTAAACATAATCAAAGTTACTAAAAAAATGGCATACAACACATGTACCTGGACACCTGAAACAAGTGAACCTGCAAGTACACCACAGCTCCAAAAATTTAATTCTCCCAAAAATTTAAAGAATTTGCATCCCTTTTGGCAGCTGAAATTCAGTTTTTTTAAACCCCACAGCTCCAAGTTACTGTTTTATAAAATTAAACAACATTCAATTATAGTAAATTTAATCCCATAGTTARGGAAAAAATTGAAAAGAAACTCAGGTCTTAGAGGTTGTTTACCAATTGAAAAGCAAAATCTTGATCCTTCATGTTTCTTTCATTTGCAAGAAATCTGCATTTTTGATGTGGCCTATTGGAAACAAAATGAGGTTTTACCTATCCAAGATGACAAAACAGACCCTAAGTCCAGAAAGCTTCATCAGGACAAGAAGAACCAAAACGATTTGAAGTACCTGTAAGCACACAAGACTATTTCAACAGTCGGCATGGCAGCTGGTGGCCTCACAAACGATTCCTGATAAGATGTATCATATTGATATGAGCATTTGGGCCTTGCTATTCCCTACAAAGRTAAAATGGAAAGAAATATCAATTCTAGTTTTTGTAATTCAGTTGAAGCATATGTGACATCCACACACTTATTTGTTTAAAAGAGGAGAAAAGAGACMTTTTTTGTTTTGCTTTGTTTCTAATGTCTTTAGATAAAATCTCATAATACCCTGTGTTTTCTTTCTCCTGTATAAGCAAAAGAATATTCATCAGCTGATTGTATTTAAATGAAGTGAATAATTGACATAATCGATATAAACATATTACTAATATTTGAATTTTTTGGATATAAGAAGACAAGCAAAGGGCATAGAAAGAAAATATCAACCTTTAGTTATCTTAATATCGTAAGTTGAGATTACTTTACCCATAAAAAGTAGCTTCATGAAGAAAAGATACCTATTTTTTTTGCAGTTCTTGCCATTGAATTGCTGAACAGCTTTACATAACRTATAAGGGGGCATTCTTCATCATTTCAGAACCATAAATTAGAAACTAAGGCCAATAGTCTAAGGTATAAGGTTTTATGTCTATGAGATTGAAAGGGGACAACCCAACGCATAGTTTGGAATAATCTACATACTTGCAGAACTTATCGTATCTTCCTTTTTATGTGATTCATCTTCACTTAATAAAATTCAGGGTGGAATCAATTGAGAATGAGAACATAAGAACTCAATAGTAATGATTCAAGTATTAAGAGAAGGTTTATGAATCAGCTTCAAAAAGAAATATTAAGAAACTTAAACATCCCGTATGTGTGCATCAATATTCAAAAATCAAAAAACAATTCAGACCGTAACATATGAATTGAACCAAAATCAATTAAAAATAAAACCTAATACCCTAATACGCTCTAACAATAGTAATTCAATAAAAAAATAAACTCATAATCGATTCTAAACAAAACTGAAGAACAAAAATAGTATAAGTATTAATGGAATAATGGAATCAGTATAGCAAAATCAAGGTCCATATCTTCTGTTTGTGATTCGGAGGGTGTAATTTGATRGTTTCCTTGGTGGTAGTTTAATCAGTGTGMTGTGTCTGTTCAAAAATTTGTGAAAAGCAATGAGAATCTGTTCAATTTTGCCATTATCTCGGTTCAAAGATAAGAGATGCATTTTGAAGTGAATCTATCAAACGACTTTTGTTGGTTTCTTTATTCAATCAGTAGAATTKTCATTTGCCAGGTARGAGAAAACACAATTCATACAAATCATTAGAACAAACCAAAACAGTAGACAACAAAAGCATAATCAGATGYTGATGATACTCTAGAAACAATTTTAAAAGTTAACAAATATTACATGTAGAAAGAATTTTGAACATACATCGTACAACGTACCTTTCTCCAGGACCAAAACTTCAATGACTGAAGAAACTCGGGTTATCATTTGAAAGTGGAAAGCCTTGGAAGCTTGTCT